ATATTTTATTTGTTAAAGATATAACTTAAATGACTTGTCCCTTGTCTTTGAATTCAACTCTTTACAAACTTACCATATTTTAACAATCATTTTTAAGAACTTTTTTATTCCTCCCCCCCAAACACCGCTTATTGTTAGGTATTGTCTAATCAGATTCGACTCCTAGTGCCCCTGTGTACAATGGAATGAAACATCTGGTCCTATGCCAGCCTCACAGTTGTTATGTTTCAGCCCACTGTTGCTGCTACTGTCAGTGTACCTTGTTTGGGGGTCTTTAACACAGGTTGTTGTTAGCCATGGAGTTGGTTCCAACTCATAGCAACCCTGTATGGGGTTTCCAAGGAGCGACTGGTGAATTTGTACCACCAACCTTGCAGTTCGTTAAATTCCCTTAAATTTAAACTGCATTTTAAAATTTAGTACTCATTTTTAAGTACTTGCTTTGTCTCTTAAATCTTTCCAAATACTTAACTCTTGTAATTCTGATATTTATGATAAACAATTTTAGTACCTTTCAAATTTTAACCAAACCAGTTGCTCAGTAACATTTTAAATTAAAAACCTAAATTTAAATATTTAGATACTCCAGTATGCAGTTTCTTTTTTTTTTTAATTTAAGTTTTTACTGTTAATTGAGTGATAGTTTACATGGAAGAACATCAGTTTTACACTCTTCCTATTGTATTTGCTTCATTGCAGTTTCTTAATTCAGGGTTTTAAAAGGGCATTTATAGACCTATTATAGCTAACCTCAACACAAAATTATTAAAACCTGGGCTTAATTTGATTTTTACTTCTTGTTCAGTTCTGACATACACTCTTCCCCATTCCCCATTTTTTCTTTAGGAAAAAAAAAAAAATTCTGTATCTGTTTTCTAAGTCTCCCTGGAAAAAAAGACCCCAAGGACATACTTTCATTATCTTAAGTATTTGAGACAGCTTTTCGAAGCAAATTTTGGGTTTTGTTTTATGTCACATTTTATAAAAATGTAGGATCTCGAGCTGCAGACATTTAGGTTGACTTTTCTCATGAAAGTTAGGGATAAGCTGAGCCTAGTTTTACAGTGTGCCAACAATGACTTCGAGGCTACACCTTTCCAGAAGGGTGGCCTCAGAGCCTGGTATCCCTGTATTCAAGTTCTACATCACTCAGTCCTCAGTTCATGTATGCACTGCTTGGTTCTGGTCTGTATTATTTTTACCTGGCCAACTCTAGTTTAAAACTAAAACCCTCTTGGATTTTACATAGCTTCCTTGTCTTAACCTGGTTTTCTAAGATCATTCTCATGACAGTTTTAGCTACTAATTTTGTAAAACACAAAGAATGTTTCTATCCTAAAACGTTATATTGAGACATAAACAGGGATTCTATGCATTTGAATTCACAACCCTGAATTATTCCTGTATTATGCAGTGTGATACCTTAGCTCTCTAGTTGTGTTACAAGCTTTTGACCAGGACCATATATCAGTGTGCCTGATTCAAGCCATATTATTTTCAAAAATCTCACTTGTATGTGAAAGTTGGACAATGAATAAAGAAGACTGTAGAAGAATTGATGTATTTGAGTTATGGTGTTGGAGGAGAATATTAAAAATATCGTGGACCACCAAAAGAATAAACCAACCTGGTATTGGAAGAAATATAGTTGGAATGCTCCTTAGAAGCCCGGATGGCCAGACTTTCTCTCTCATGCTTTTAACTTATCAGAAAGGACCAGTTCCTGGAGAAGGACATCATGCTTAGTTAAGTGGAGAGTCAGTGAAAATGAGAAAGATCCCCAACAAGATGGACTGGCACAATGGCAGCAGCAATGAACTCAAGTGAAACAATGATTGCGAGGTTGGCTCAGGACCAGGCAGTATTTTATTATTCTGTTGTTCTTAAGGTCGCTATGAGTTGGTACTGGCTCAGCGGCCCTTTAACAACAACATTTATCAGTGTTGTTCAGTAGAAATACAGTGTGAGCCACAGATGTGATTAAACATTTTCTAGTAGCCACATTTGAAGTCCTCATAGCCATATGTAGTTAAATTAAACTTCCATAATTTAACACTAGTAAAAAAGTAAGTTTTGTTACAAGATTGATGTTTTGTGTGTGTGCTATTTTAGGTACACACTTCTGTAAGTTATTATAAGGTATATAAAAATGCAATTTTTCTTTCTCTTAAAGGCCCTTATGAATGTGTGTGTGTATTAGTTACATATTTCTCTAATTGAGTAAAATATAAAGTATTTAAAAATGTATATTTTCTTTCTCTTAAAGGCTCTTCCGTCTTCCATGATTATAGTAGCAGTTTATTGTCCTGTGATAGCTGCTGTTTTCATTGTTCTGAAGATGGTCAACTACCGACTACATAGAGCACTTGATGCTGGAGAAGTTGTAGATAGGAGAACAAATGAGTTCACAGAGCAGCGAACCAAAACTGAACAAGGCAACTGTTCAGCTAGGAGAAAAGACAGCAATGGCCCAAGGTAAGAAAACCTCTTATTTCGAGTAAAAAGATGTAGATTATTATGTATGTGTAATGATGTGATTATTGTACTTGTTTTATTTATATGGTTTTAAGGCAGTTGTTGTTGTTGTTGTTATGTGCCATGGAGTTGGTTCCGACACATAGTGATCCTGTACAGGGTTTTCTGAGGCTGTAAATCTTTACGGGAGCAGAAAGCCTTATCTTTCTCCCGCGGATCAGCTGGTAGTTTCGAACTCCTGACCTTGCAGTTCACAGCCCGAT